TCAGGTTGCACAGAACTGATAATGGCCACAGGCAATCGAGCGTCCAGCTCTCCTCCTGCAGTGGGTTCACGAGGTGCGCACCCACCACTGCGAATCGCCTTTAGTACGGCTGCAGTATTCCTCTCAGGATATAGGCACGCACAATAGCTGGAACGAATTGAGTACGTTAAACGCACTGACTGATTGCTCGACGGGCACACAGGGTGGAGCCAGAGAGAAGTCATAAGTCACAGCGAGGAAACGTATATTCCAGATGTGCACAGTAAACACGCTCACGCGCAAGTGAAGTAGGATGGGGAATACAGTTTATCAGTTAAACAAGTTCATCTTTTCAAACCACGTTCATTCGCCATTAGGCTCTCGATCGTACAATCTTCTGTGTGACTCCGGTGCGTAAACTCTTGAAACTATATCTGGAAAAGAGGGAAGANTCAAGTCTGTACGGAACGTTACACACGTCCCCCGCGCAACGAGGCGCTGTCCTCAGCGCTGTCTAAGATGTTGTTGGTGTTCTTCAGTCGGTTGACGTGGACGACAACTGACCACTGTGGTAGGGTGAGACGGTAGAGAATGTTGAACAACACCTGCTCTATAAGGTAAGGACCCTTCCATGCTCTGTGGAGCTTTGCTGGGACACCTGTCGGAGGTGCCGATTCACTTAACCAAACGCGATCACCGGGTAAGAACGTTCTTTGTTTCACGCGCCGATCGAAGTAGCTCTTCTGATGTCGTTGAACACTTTGCAGATGCTGTCGAGCCAAGTGGTGGCCGAACGTGAGGTTGGCCTGCATGCGACGTACGTGGGGTGTAGCACAGCGTGTCGGGGGCCGCATGGGTTAGTAACTCACCGGATGGTAATCGCATTTCACGCCCCGGAACCATACAATGTGGAGTCTGGCCGGTTGATGATTGAACAGTCGCCCTGTAAGCTAGCAAGCAGCGTGGCAGACATGTATCCCACTGATCGGCCATCTCGTGGTTCTTGAACGCCTTCAGCAGACACTTCATCGTTCGGTTTGTGCGTTCTACGAGGCCGTTTCCTTCTGGATGATAGGGTTTGTTTTGTTTTTTTTATTCCAAGATATGGCACATCTCCCGGAAAAGCATGCTTTCGAACTTCGACCCTTGGTCGGTGTGCAATTGATATGGAACACCCCAGCGAGCAAACCACTCTGTGAAAACGGTTTTGGCCACCGTTCAAGCATCTGATTTTGGAATCGGCGCTGCTTCGCATCATTTGGTGAAATAGTCCACCATCACCAGAATGTACCGATTTCCTGACCTCGTTGCGGGAAGCGGTCCAACTAAGTCAACGCCCAGCATTTCATTGGGAAATCCTGCTCTCACCGTCTGTAACGGAGCTCGTGCTGTTGGGGTAGGGATTTTTAACTGGCCACATTCGGTGCAGGCAGAACAGAAATTGGCAATATCTCGCCTCATACGAGTCCGCCAAAACCGTCTCCTTGCAGCATCTTCTAGTTTGTTTTGGCCCGCGTGTCCCAGCTTCTCATG